CAGATACATGGTTTGCAAATATTTTCTCCCATTCTGTAGGTTGCCTTTTCATTTGGTTGACCGTTTCTTTTGTTGTGCAGAAGCCTTTTTAGTGTGATGTAGTCACACTTGTTTAGTTATGCACCTATTGCTTGTGTTTTGATGCCATATCCAGAGAGTCACTGTCAAAACCAAAGTAATGAGATTTTCCTTTTGTTTTCTTCTAGCAGTTTTACAAATTCAGGTCTTATGTTTAAGTCCTTAATCCATTTCAAGAGGGTTTTTTGTATATGGTATAAGATGAACTTCATTCTCTTGCATAGGAATATCCAGTTTTCCCAATACCATTTATTGACAAGACTATCTTTCCTACTTTGTATTCTTGGCAGCTTCCTTGAAGATTAGTTAAGCATTTATGTGTGAATTTATTTCTGGGTTCTCTATTCTGTTCCATTGGTTCATGTGTCCATTTTTAAGCCACTACCACACTGCTTTGATTCCTTTAGCTGTATAATATGATCTGAAATCAGTGTGAGTGAGATCTCCAGCTTTGCTCTTCTTTCTCAAGACTTTCTCAATAGTTTATCTATTTAAGGTCTTTTGTGGTTCCAAATGAATTTTAGGATTATTTATTTCTATTTCTGTGAAAAATACCATTGGAATTTTGATAGATATTGCATTGAATCTGCAGAACAATTTAGGTTCTATGGACATTTTAACAATTTTAATTCTTCCCAGCTTATGAACAGAGGATATCTTCCCATTTATTTTTACCTTCTACACTTTTTTTTAAATGAAGACTTTACTAAGAGCCAAAGAAGGTCATTATATAATGATAAAATGTTATTTCATTGTGAGGATAAAACAATGGTGAATATATATGCACCCAATACTGGAGCATTTAAATATATAAAGCAAATACTAATAGAACTGTTGGGAGAAACAGACAATGACACAGTAATATCCCCTTTTCAACTGAGGATAAATCATCTGGACATAACATTAAAAAGGAAACGTTGAATTTGAACTACTTTTAGGCCTGATGGATGAAGTGGAACAGAACAGGGCATCCAACAGCAACAGAACACACATTCTTCTTGAGTGCAAACAGAACATTCTCTAGGGCAGATCATTTGTTAGGCCCTATGAGTCTTACCAAATTTAAGGAAATTGAAGTCATATCAATATCTTTTTCGATTACAAACTTATGAAAATGGAAATCAATAAGAGAGGACAATGGGAAGACTCACAAATATGTGGAAATTAAACAACACGTTTCCACAAACAACAACAGCCACCCAGCAGACAAAGGAGAAATCAACAGGGAAATTAAAAAAAAAAAAAAAAAAACAGAAACAAAAACAAAAACCACTTGAGACAAATGAAACTGGAAATACAATATACTAAAACTTATGGAATTGTGCTTTATGATGTGCATTCTTTTAGTGTACATGTCTTATTAAATCTAAAGGAAGTGAGCTAAATGGGGGCCATGCAAGGATTCCCTTCCCTTATTAGGTTAGGTCTAAATCTTCTCACACAAAAGCAGAAGACATGTGTTCTGCTTATTTTCCCTTAGGTCAAACTACAGAAATGAAATGCACTCGAATTCTGTAAAGTTACGGATACCAGCTCGGAGGAAGAAAAGAAGAAAGTCAGAGAAAAACCAAGAACATTTCAGAGAATGCCTGGTTCAGAGTTAGTAACCCTTTTTTTTTTTTTTTCCAAAGATTTTATTTATTTATTTGACAGACAGAGATCACAAGTAGGCAGAGAGGCAGACAGAGAGAGAGGTGGAAGCAGGCTCCCCGCAGAGCAGAGAGCCCGATGTGGGGCTCGATCCCAGGACACTGGGACCATGACCTGAGCCGAAGGCAGAGGCTTTAACCCACTGAGCCACCCAGGTGCCCCAAGAGTTAGTAACCCTTTAGAACCAGGATTTCTCAGGCTACAACTCTAGCCCCATCATGAAATTAACATCAGTGTTCACATGTTAGGAATTATGGTAGATACTGTCACCCTCTTTGCATGTTCTTTTAAGCCTTTGTTAAGTTTATGAATACTTGTAATTCTGGTGTCTCCAAACATATAGGACTAATCCCTCCAATTAAACACTTATATCCAAGTCACTTAAATTACCTAGATTACATGAAAAGTAGTTTAGGAATATGGGATGGAAGTGACCATCTCGAGTAGAGACTCCGCAGCTCTCTGGCTACAAGATTGTGGATGAATCTTTTATATCCCTCCACTCAGCCTCCTCTTTCAGACAATGGAGCTGCAACTTCACGACCATAGCTAAATGTAAATGTGATCATGTTTGGGTGCTGATCAATGGGAACCTGGGCAATCAGTGATAGACTACCTCACCTAATTTGTTGTGGGGAGTTATTTTAGTCTTTTATCTTAGTTACTATTTTCTCTGGCCTCCCCCCACCCCACCCCGTTGCTTCCCTCTCAATTTTAGAGGATGTGTGTGGGGGTGCATATGTTTATGTTTACTACTTCAAGAAAACTTTACATAGGCACAGACAAACCTACGGACAAGGCCCCCTCACTCAGCCTAGTCACTGACACAGAACATCATTTCTGCAGTGAATTTGGCTTCCAAAAACCAGGAAGAGGCAAACAGATCAGAGAAATGTGACTTGGCAATGCTTGGCAGGGAAAGAAAAACGCCTGAGGATACTCAGTGCTTATGAATTTGGTATGGTCCGGTTTTGACAATGTTCCCATGGTTTTGAAGGTTTAATGACAGATAGGAGTGTTCAGATCAAATGAATTATTTTCTTATGCTTTCAAGAGAATAGTACAAGCCATACTCAAAACAGTGTGTTCTGTCCTGGCTCTCACCATAACGAGAAACAGAAACAGAATTATGAATATTTGCTTCTGTTGGAAGAAACTCTATGTTTTTAAAAATCATTAAAGAAACATTTTTACTGAAAAAATTTTAAACATACAGCAATACTAAAATAATTTTAGAGTGAACCCCTTGAAACCTACGTGCTAGATTGTACCATTGCTCTTTTACTATGCTAGTTCTGTCATGTATCTGTCCATTAATCCATCCTTGATGCAATTCAAAGTAAATTGCAGACATCAGTATCATTGTCTGAAAAACTTCACTATGCATATTGGAATTAAGACCACACAACATGTAAAGACTACACGACATGTTTACATTCTTTTCCTTGATGTCAAATTTGCAAACTATGATATGAAATCTTAAGTGTGTGTTCACCAAGGTTTGACAAATGCATACATCTCTGAACCCAAACTCCTATATTCTGGTCATTGATTATTTTATATGTGACTTGCCTCTTCTTTTTAAGAAATACACGATTCTGGCCTTCTGTGGTTTATTTTTTAGGTGCTTCCCTTCCACCCCCAAAGAATAGTTCAGAACTATTCAAGAGATAATAATTGAATTATTTACCCAGTTATGGTACCTGAAATAAACCTTGAAATAAATGGTAGTCTTAAGAGGTAAGGTAGGCAAGAGATTTGTATGAGGAAGGAAGGGTGGCTGAGGGGGCCAAGGTGGCACAAGAGGCCTTCCAGGCAGGGCTGGGAACAGTGGTGGAAACAGACGTTTTGTTGGGACAGCCAACAGGAACCAGGTCTGGCTGGAGGGGACAGTTCCAAGAGGAGAAAGGACGAGTGGGCCATGTCAGGAGACAATATGTTCAAAGACTCACAATGACTCAGTTTCCAAAGTACACGTAGTGCCTACATGTCTACATAAGAAGTAACTAAATTATACCAGGGAGTAGAAACTGAAGAGGAGAAAAGAGCATAATTTTGATTATGAACAGGGGACTTAGTATACAGATAAAACAGGACAGAGAAAAACCCCACATGACGAGAATTTTCAAAAATGTTGAAAGAACGAAAGGTAGACATTTTAAAAAAAAACTATTTAAATACTGAGAAAAAGAACAAAAGTATCCTGGATGGTGAAGACTGTATCATGCTGAAATGGATGATGGAACATAGTGGGGTAAGCTACTGATTTTTGAGCTCTACTTACTCATCAGAGATTGTTTAACTGCTTACATATATCATTTTCTTAATTTTCATGATAAATTTAGGAGGTAGATACTAGTATCCCCATTTTACAGATGGGTACATTGTAAAGGAAAGAAGTCAAATGACTTGTTCAAAGACACACAGCTCATGTGAGAGCCCGCGACTCGCATTCTGGTCCATGTGACTCAACGATCCACCCTCGTCTAGTTGCCTTACCTAAACTATGTATCTTGTGGGCATTTTTCTCCAGCAAGGGGAATAGTCTTTACACATGGAAGAGCACAAATCCCACACTTCAAAGAGTAGAAGATGTATATTTTGCCTAGTGTAACCTAATCTCCCTGGCTCTTGAGCTAAAGTTCAGATGCATCCCCAGTTTGGTTAGGTCCCATTCCATTGTATACACAAAGGGTAACATCTATGTACAAAACTCTACCATTCCAAAGAGATGAGAAAACTGTGGTCTAGGGAGGACGAATGTTTTATTTTTATATAAAGCACTTTTCCTGGATTTAGGAAGAAGTGGTATCATGGGATCTACCACCTAAATAATAGGTATTGTAAAATAATTATAAACATAATGTATTGTCACATTGTTAAAAATCTCTCATCATCTATATGGCAACTCCAAAAACAGGAAAGGGGAAGGGATTTTCCCAAGATCCCACAGTGACTGCTTGGTTGATTTAGATCCAAAAAACAAGTCTTTTTATCCAAGTTTGTGCCAGGTCAATTGTTCCATAATGTATCCGTGATCTCAATGTAGATCTCAATCCATAATGTATTCTTGATCTCAAAGTAGAAACCCAAGCAATGCTTCTACAGAATTTCCTTTAATGACAAGCAAATCCAGGGAAATTGATACATCCTGAACTACCAAAGAGCCAGGCAGAGAGAAGGCACATCTTTATAAATTTAAGGGATTCATTAGAGAAAAATAGAAATGAGAAAGGAAATGGCTGGAAGTCAGCACAAACATTGCCCAAAATTCAGCATTTTCCTTGATGCTTTAGGTTGATCTTCCCACCACTTTTCCTATAAAAGAGAAAGACAAATGTATGCTCAGTGCAATATCATTAGTATTCATTACAAAGGTTGGAAAAAGCTTTGACAGTGCAAGGTCCCTGCAATCTTTTGATTCTACAGGTATCCACGTTTATAATTTGGCAGAGGTTAATTAAATTTACTCAGAGACGACATCTGGACAAATTATAGAAAACATGAATCTTAAACAAATTTCAGTGTTTTACCCAGGTTTGACCTCCTGGTTTCAATTGTTCATTCTCTGAGAGGAAATATGCATACAACCAGAAAAGGTTAAAGTGAGAGAGATGATGGCAAAGGGACTCCAGTGTCATAGTCCTCATGAGATGTAAGAGGTTGAACCAGATATTCAGCCATTTGATACTTTATAGCAGGCCATGTGTTCAGTCCTCCTCAGCAATAAGTGTCCATTAAATCAAATCTCTGTTTACCCTTCTGCCTTTCTTCTGGGGAAGTTTGGTGTTAATCAGATATGTTACATAAGCAAGTAGGCCCATATTAATGTATTAATTTCATTCTATGTGCCTGGCCCTGTTATTATTAGTAGGGAGTTATATAATCCCTGTGTTTAGCCATTTTACAGCAAAGTTGAGTGAAATTAAGACATTCATGGAAGAAACTCTAATATCGGAAAATGAAGACAGTGGTGAGGAGTACGAGACTTTTTTCTGGCTTAAACAAGGGTTAAAATCCTTGGTTTTAGGGCAATCAATTAGACTAAAAGATTGCTTGATTGGATAAATTTTTATTAATTACAAACTGATCCCTTGGGAAGGTCACAGTTTAGTGTCTAAAATCTACAGCATCTGTTCTGTTCCTGACAGATGTGTAAATTTAATCAATACATATGGTCTTTGATGGAATTTTCCTAGGATCCTAGGTAAAGTTTGACTAGACTGCATTCTAAAGGATGATCTTTTCCTCTATTCTTTGATAAAGGGCTTCTTTTCAATGGCTCATGTTCATCAAAATAAAAGCGGAATGAGTGAGGGGAGCCTGGGTGGCTCAGATTGTTGAACATCTGCCTTTTCAGCTCAGGTCTCCTGAGAAGTTCCTGAGACGAGTCAGGCTCCCAGCTCAGCAGGGGGTCTGCTTCTCCTCCCTTTGCCTCTCCCCCTGCTTGTGATCTCTCTCTCTCTTGCAAATGAATAAATAAAATCTTAAAAAAAAAAAAGAGGAATGAATGGAAATTGGTACCTTAGTAACATGTAATTTGGTATAAAAGAAAATGTCTGGAAATAATACTTTTAGTGATGATAAATTTTCTCCCAGCTTTTTCATGTTTCTGATTTTGATGAGTATGATACTTACACCATCGCCTTACAAAAGGCACATTTATTGCCGTACGTCTGGCCGTCAGAGCCACAGTGGGGGTTAGATTCCCGAGTGCAGTAGACCTTGGGATCCTGGAACTCACCACAGTCAATCTGCCAACATAAGCATGGCGACCTCAACATTAGTGCATCCTAGTCTGTGTGGACTGTCCCTCAGAACAGAAGCTTCGGGCAGCAAGCTTAAACACACACATGCGCGCGCTCTGGATGTAAAGCTTCCTGAAATAGAAACATGGCTTTCCTTATCTGCTTAACTAGAACTTATTAAATGTAAATGAGACTTTTTCTTTGAGACACAGGAAACCCATTTCTGTAGTTATGGCATTTGGGAGTAAGTTAATGATGGAAGGCAGATGCTTACTCCTTATATAAGGAGTGAGGCAAGTGCTATAGGTATGATTTTTTGCTCCAACACCTAATTATTCGGAAAATAGTTTTTCAACTTTAAATGGTGCTTGCTTTTTCTTTTCTTCCTTCCCTCCTCCCTCTCCCTTCCTCCCTCCCTCCCTCTCTCCCTCTCTTTCTTCCTCCCCTTCTCTCTCTCTTCTTAATTTAACTCTAATAGCACTCCTTCTGCATTGCTATAAAGATGCAGAAGATTCTTGCAAGGAGTTCCCATATGTTATCTGATGGCTTGTTAATTTTCCCTGTTGGCTGCGACATCTATTTACTATCTCTTGAAAACAAAGGTCTAATGTTTTTATTATTAACTTACTCTGTCTCAGGGTCTATTTGTAGAATTCGAACTTTTGCATGTACTATAAAAACATAGTAATGGCTGCCTAAGCTGCTCTATTTAGAAGGATCCTGAGGGTGCATCCAGCCTTGGTGAGCACACATGCTATGACTAATTAGTAATTATCATCACAGGTCCTGTAGAAGGGAAGGTAGCACCTATGCACTAATATTTCTCCTTAGTTTTAGTGGTCTCTCAGGAGTAGCCTGGAGTTTTAAGATTCTTTTCAATTCAGTGTCAGCTGAGTAAATACTTGGTGTGCAAATGACATTTGAGGCATTTTATTCCAGAGTACAGGCAATATGTGATAGGTAAACCTGAACTCCTCCAGATGTCAGCTGTGTGGGATAGAGTAACATTTAAACATGAGCACAGAGACCACACTTCACTCCATCCCAGTTCCATTAAAACAACACTGGCTCATGTTTATGAACTGATTCACAATATTGAAACTACTCTTATATGGATTAGCTGAGTTGAGACTCACAATAACCCTGAGACATACAGTGAACGATGTTATATTTACTAGTTTATAGATGTGAATAGTGTTCCTCGGGAAATTTATGTGGCTCATCAATGCCGCAAGAGCAGACACCACTGAAACCAGTGCTTGAACATATTCCTCCTCATTGCTGGTCTAGAATATCCCACAATCTGCGATGGCTGATTTCCAACACATCCTCATTGAGAGAAATAAAGATCAACGGTCACCATGCACTCTTGACCACACTTACAGTCACGACATGTAGACTTCATTAAAATACCTTATTAGAGACATGCATGGACGTAGGTGAGATGAATCTTTATTCAAGATATTAGTAAAGGATTACATATTGACAAAGTCCTCCAACAGTTTGCATGGAGAAAGCCTCAGCAAAAGAATCACACAGCTGAATTTAAAAATATTATCACATATATCAGGTTTAAGGCACCTGAGACTATTAAATATAGATTCTTGTTGAAATTTGGCACTTGTACTGTTGAGATTGGGCGGTTTGGTACTTACCAGAGATCTTAGGGCCTGGCTGCGAGAAGACAGGCGTCTCATAGTTCCAGCTAAAGTTCTACTTTTCCCCACAGTTCTTCAAGATATCTCCTATCTCCCAGACAGTACTCTTTCCTTTAGGTCTCCAAACAGAAAAAAGGCTGGAAAATCTTTGGGGTCTTTTAAACCACAGGATAATTTTCTCAAAAGCTAATGTATTTTACACTTAAGTCATGGATGTACACATTTGCAGCTTTGTGCTTGAGTCAAGAAAGGACTGTAAACTCCAGAATCATCACTGATACTTTCATGTATTCCACAAAGAGCCGATGGGTAACTACTATTTGGAGGACACAGTGCTGGGTGCTGGTGATACAGAGAGAAATCAGTTATAAACACTGTCTCAATAAGCTCACTATCTCATCTGCATTAGGGAAGCAGAGAAGATGCAGGTAACTGGGGTGTCTGGGTGGCTCAGTCGGTTAAGCCGTCTGCCTTCAGCTCAAGTCATGATCCCAGGGTCCTGGGATCGAGTCCTGCATCGGGCTCCCTGGTCAGCGGGGAGCCTGTTTCTCCTTCTGCCTGCTGCTCCTCCTGCCTGTGCCCTCTTGCTCTCTCTTTCTCTCTGACAAATAAATAAATAAAATCTTCAAAAAAGAAGATGCAGATAGCCATAGCACAATGTGTAATTGAGGCCACAGCAGGCCAGTCACAGGCAGTGTGGAAGCAGAGGACAGGGTATCTTGGTCAGTGAGGAAAAGAAAAAACAAAGTCTCTTACATGAGAGAGACACCTCCTTAAGACACCTTTCCCTGGCAGCTGGCCCTCTGATCTTGCCATCCAGACTCTTTTGCCCTTGAGAAAGCAGATATGAAAGAGGGAGTTGGGGATGGTTCACTGTTGAGAGTGTTTAGATGCCCCTTCCCTCCTCAAGCCCACTTGTCCCTTCCTCTGTTCCCCTGGGAATGACCAGGCAGAATATAAGATTTCAACAGTGAAAACCCAAACAGTCAAATGGCCTAGGAACAGACTCCTTCATAACATAGACATACTTCGCATTCTCCCATTGTCTGGGCCTCCGGGCATCCCTGAAGGGAGCTGAGGAATCCTGTTAGGGAATTTGTTCCGCCACACACCATTAACTAGCTGTGTCATCTTGGACAAAGTACTCAAAGCCTCAATTTGCTCACTAGAGACTTGGAAAAAAATAACACTTTCCACGCTTCATTCCGAGCATTGTTACGAAGATCAAAGGTGGTCATAGAAGAATTGCAGAAAGTCAGGGTAGCATATTTGAACAGTCCCAGGCAAGGAGTGTAGAAAATAAGCTTCTGATTATAGGCCTGCTTGAACGGTACCATCGGACAAGACGGTCTCTGAAGACCCTTCCACCTTGGATGGTTTAAGTTTGAGCAGTGACCTCTCTCAATAAAGTGTTTTAAATAAAGCTAAGTCCTTAGTTCTTCCATTGGGTGGGAGAAACAACAACTTATGCCCAAATGCCTCCTCTTTTATATCTTGAGGACCCTCTTCACTCAGTGTGTGTGAAATTTTAGCATGGTGACCAAGGACAGAAAAGGACCACTCTCTGAGAGCTCTGGAGGACAGGGAAGGTGAAGGATGCTTTTGCAGGGACAGCCAGAAATTCCTTCTGTGAGGCAAAGAGCAAGGCACGGGCCTAGCAGGGCTGGGACTAGAAAGAGGCCAGGGCTCTCACAACTGGAGGAGAAGTGGGCTAAGATTTCTGAATGTCTTGCCTTTCTTAGGCCTAAATTTCCTCTCCCCTTTTATGTTTTTATTTTAGACTTCTATACATGGCATCCAAACTAATGGCTTCTCGGTGGAGGTCAAAGCAGGTCTAGACTAAGGGGATGGTGGGATTGTGTTTTCCTCCTTGAAATTTTCCCCTGTGAGGGCTTTAGGACACCAAGGAGAGCTGAAATTCTCCCCTCCTCCAATCGTTTAGAATCCCCTACTGCTCTGTCATGTTGGGGACTGTCCTGTAGATGGAATTAGACAGACCTGCCTCTGAATTTTGCTTCTTTCACTGATTAGCTCATTACCTTGTGCAAAAACTTGACTGCTGCAAGATTAACTTTATTCATCTTTAACGGGGCTAGCCATGCCTATCCTGTGAGGTTATCATAGTGATAAATCCTTTGCAAACACTTTGTAAATCCCAAGTACGTGCAAGATTGCTACTATGAATAGTAACAATGGAAATTATATCATAATCTACAATTTTTGGAGCCCATTATTTATTATCCTATTTTAGTGAATTTTTTGATGTTTTTACAATTGTTGTTGGTTCTAACAAGCACCTCCATTTATTTCCTGAGTTCAGCTTCTGAAGACCATGTCTAGGCACTTGGGTGCCAGTGTTTGGTATCAGCCTGACCTCTTGTGGTTCTTCAAAGAACTGTGCCTTCTGAAATATTCTGGAATGGGAGGACACTTAGTACCCAAATCAGTGGGTTTTTTGGGTTTTTTTTTTTTGCTAACAGGGACTACCAAATTATTTAACTTGTCTGGAAAATGAGCTTGTACAGTAACTCAATCAACTAAAGAGTCAGGATCATTGATATTTTAGTCTAGCACTTTAGTTCTACAATAAAGCCAATGAAAATTTGCAAACACACACACAATCATACAAAAATACCCTAGAGTGTAGTACTTCACCTATTCTTCCCTTTACTAAAAAATGCTAGTTTAGGTGCCCCTAAACTACTGTTTTCATTATAGTACTTCTTTGCTTAAGAAGTGAGGATAGTAAACACTAACATGTATTTATTTACTCAGAAATTCATGCCGCTCAATATGCATTCACATGCCCTGCACAATGGCTTTCTGTTGCTGATCAGAAATAGCATGGAGGGGCACCTGGGTGATTCAGGTCGTGATCTCAGGGTTTTGAGATGGAGCCCCACACTGGGCACCGTGGTAGGCGTGGAGCCTGCTTAAGATTCACTCTCCCTCATAGCGGGTACATACCTCAATATCATCAAAGCCATCTATGAAAAACCCACAGCGAATATCATTCTCAATGGGGAAAAACTGAGCTTTTTTCCCTAAGGACAGGAACACGGCAGGGATGTCCACGGTCACCACTGCTATTCAACATAGTACTAGAAGTCCTAGCCTCAGCAATCAGACAACAAAAAGAAATAAAAGGCATCTGAATTGGCAAAGAAGTAAAACTCTCACTCTTTGCAGATGATAGGATACTTTATGTGGAAAACCCAAAAGACTCCACTCCAAATCTGCTAGAACTCATACATAGAATTCATAGAATTCAGTAAAGTGTCAAGATATAAAAATCAATGCACAGGGGCGCCCGGGTGGCTCAGTGGGTTAAAGCCTCTGCCTTTGGCTCCGGTCATGGTCCCAAGGTCCTGGGATCGAGCCCCGCGTCGGGCTCTCTGCTCCACAGGGAGCCTGCTTCCTCCCCTCTCTCTCTCTGCCTGCCTCTCTGCTTATTTGTGATTTCTCTCTCTGTGTTGAATAAATAAAATCTTTAAAAAAAATCAATGCACAGAAATCAGTTGCATTTCTATACATCAACAGCAATACAGAAGAAAGAGAAATTAAGGAGTCAATCCCATTTACAATTGCACCCAAAACCATAAGATACCTAGGAATAAACCTAACCAAAGAGGCAAAGAATCTGTACTCAGAAAACTATAAAGTACTCATGAAAGAAATTGAAGAAGACACAAAGAAATCGAAAAACATTCCATGCTCATGGATTGGAAGAACAAATATTGTGAAAATGTCTATGCTACCTAAAGCCATCTACATATTTAATGCAATCCCTATCAAAATACCATGACTTTTTTCCCAAAGAAATGGAACAAATAATCCTAAAATTTATATGGAACCAGAAAAGACCTCAAATAGCCAGAGGAATGTTGAAAAAGAAAACCAAAATTGGTGGCATCACAATTCCAGACTTCAAGCTCTATTACAAAGCTGTGATCATCAAGACACTATGGTACTGGCACACACACAAAAAAAGACACATAGATCAATGGAACAGAATAGAGAACACAGAAATAGACCCTCAACTGTATGGTCAACTAATCTTTGACAAAGCAGGAAAGAATGTCCAATGGAAAAAAGACAGTCTCTTCAACAAATGATGTTGGGAAAACTGGACAGCCACATGCAGAAGAATGAAACTGGACCATTTCCTTATACCACACACAAAAATAGACTCAAAATGGATGAAGAGCCTCAATGTGAGACAAGAGTCCATCAAAATCCTTGAGGAGAACACAGGCAGCAACCTCTTCCACCTCAGCTGCCGCAACTTCTTCCTAGAAACATCGCCAAGGGCAGGGAAGCAAGGGCAAAAATGAACTATTGGGACTTTAGCAAGATTAAAAGCCTTTGTGCAACAAAGGAAACAGTCAACAAGACCAAAAGACAACCCAAAGAATGGGAGAAGATATTTGCAAATGTCTTATCAGATAAAGAGCTAGTATCCAAAATCTATAAAGAACTTATCAAACTCAATACCCAATGAACAAAGATCCTAATCATGAAAGGGGCAGAAGACATAAACAGTCATTCCAGCAAAGAAGACATCCAGATAGCCAGCAAACACATGAAAAGTGCTCAACATCATTCAGCATCAGGGAAATACAAATCAAAACCACAATGAGATACCACCTCACACCAGTCAAAATGACTAAAATTACAAGTCAGGAAATGACAGATGTTGGCAAGGATGCGGAGAAAGGAGAACCCTTCTACATTGTTGGTGGGAATGCAAGCTGGTGCAGCCACTCTGGAAAACAGCATGGAGGTTCCTCAAAAAGTTGGAAATAGAGCTACCCTATGACCCAGCAATCACACTACTGGGTATTTACCCCAAAGATACAAAAGTAGTGATCTGAAGGAGCACGTGCACCCGAATGTTTACAGCAGCAATGTCCACAATAGCCAAACTATGGAAAGAACCTAAATGTCCATCAACAGATGAATGGATAAAGAAGATGTGGTATATACACCACATATATAGAATATATATAGATAGATAGATAGATAGATATACACACAGCCACCAAAGAAATAAAATCTTGCCGTTTGCAACAACGTGGATGGAACTAGAGGGTATTATGCTGAGTGAAATAAGTCAATCAGAGAAAGACAATTATCATATGATCTCTCTGATAAGAGAAATTTAAGAGACGGGGTGGGGAGGTTCTGGGTGGGGTAGGAAAGGGAAAAATGAAACAAGATGGGATCCAGAGGGAGATAAACCATAATGGACTCTTAATCTCACGAAACAAACTGAGGGTTGCTGTGGGGTGGGAGAATAGGGATAGGGTGATCGGGTTATGGACATTGGGGAGGGTATGTGCTATGGTGAGTGTTGTGAAATGTGTAAGCCTGATGACTCACAGACCTGTACCCCTGGGGCAAATAATACATTATATGTTAATAAAATAATGAAAAAAAAAAGAAAAAAAAGATTCACTGTCCTTCTGCCTACAACCCCCCAATATTTAAAAAAAAAAAGAAAAGACGATGCATGGAGCCACATATGGTCACTCAACACGGAGTCAAGTGTCCTGAGGTGGTGACTACATAGTTTTACTGCTGTAAAGCTTGAGTGAGGTAGGTCCTCTTTCTGAAGCTTGAGTTTTCCTACTTGTAGTTAAAGTGTAGATGTTGGTTAACATGGCCAAGTTGTATTTAGTTAACCTGTCAATATCTTGATTATAAGTTAACACAAGTTAATTAGGAAAAATGAAGAGCCCCAAACACGTTTTAGCCATGGAGCATTATTTTACTAATTATACTATAATCTACCATGCCTTTATCTTAAAATACTAATAAAAATAAACTTAGATATCTTAAAATTGTTGTAAAAGAAAACCACTGACAATTATTTATTTTTGAGCAGTTTGTCATATTAATTCCAAACTGGAATATTAGTTTAAACAGCTCCTTAAGGGTATGGTTTCCAAATACCCAGCCTGATAGGGAAATAAGAAAAAGAAAGACAAAGTAGTGAGTATTCTGACCAAAAAACTATCCTTGTTTGGAGATTATGTCTTTCAAGCATTTTGGTATTATACTATAATTTCTTTAATAAAGACTGATGATGGTAAATAGTAGTTTCATTTTTTTTTTTAAAGATTTTGTTTTTATTTATTTGTCAGAGAGAGAGAGAGAGAGCAAGCACAGGCAGACAGAGTGGCAGGCAGAGGCAGAGGGAGAAGCAGGCTCCCTGCCGAGCAAGGAGCCCGATGTGGGACTCGATCCCAGGACGCTGGGATCACGACCTGAGCCGAAGGCAGCTGCTTAACCAACTGAGCCACCCAGGCGTCCCAATAGTAGTTTCATTTTTAATTACTGTTATTATATCTTAATTTTTATGTTACTTAATGTTCCAACTTGGCAAATCTGAGAGTTGGCAGCTTATTAGTCACTTACATTTACGGGGAAAATTTTACAGGACTGTGAATCCCTAAAGTCCAGGAACATGCTTTTTATTTAGTTTGAACACTCTTTTTGAAAGAATGTGAAGCTTTTACAAATCAATAATTTAAACTGCTCACTCTAGTTTCCCCTCAGCTGTTCCATCACGGAGAGACTTCCTGGCACAAGAGTATTGACTTTGGTGTTAGAGAAAACTCTCTCTCTCTTTTGTACTAGCTGGGTCAGACTTGAGCAGGCATGTTTCCAAGGATAGTTGCAACTTCTGCCTCTTGTTGGGACTGCCATCAGCCTTCCAGACACACAGAAGAGAAACATAGGCTTTGCGCCATCTGAAAGATGGGAGGCATCCTCCTGGCCCTTGATATTTGAGTGCAAAAGAGACAGCAGTCTTGGCCAGGAAGGCTTGGTTCATAAGAATCTAGATACCTAAGGCCGGAAAGGGGCTCTGGAGATCCTTGAATCCATATTTTCATTTTAGAAATGTGGAAACAGAGGCAAGGAGAAAGGAAGAGACACCCATTGGAACACACAGCCAGCAAAGATTCAAACAAGGACTCATCTGTACTATCTCCTGGGTGTTGGAGCATTTCAAAGTCAGTGCTTCCCAGCATCAGAGAATTACCTAGAATGTAGATTCAAAACTCCCCAGCTGCGT